GGTTCAGTTTGATAAATCTAGTTAATAATGATCATGATGTTCAAGGTTGAGGTTCGGTTTGGAAGGTAACAAAAGACAGAACTCGCATATTTTCCCGAACCTTACACCATCATCGTGGGTAGTCTGAAGATAACGAGCTTGAAGGCAGTAGGTCGGCAGAATGAGACCCGTGGCAAAACAATGTCACAGGATAGGAGCCCCCATAATGGAACCTATAGGCCAAAGTTCGATCTTTCTCTGCCATTCTAACCCCCAAAATTTCAAAGCGAAAGCAGCGCTCATCTCCTATCCTCTCCGAACCCGCCCACCCCATGGACGAGTGATTGACGCGGTCAGAGCGCCAGCCGCAATGCGGGTGGAGGACTATATGTCGCCGAATTTGGAAGAGTCCCGCGCGGATTCCCTGAAGGAACGCATGTCCGCGCATGTACAAGGGTGCGTATTTGTCGCAAATGACCGCGGGGATCGCCCTTTTTCGGCGACATATAGTCCTTTACCCCCGCAATGCTATAAGCATGAGGTCCCGCAACGACTCTGCGTCTTCGCCATGACGGGCTTCGCGTTCATTCCTCGCTTCGGAATTCATTTTTTGCAGCGAGACTTGAGCGATTACAGTTAGAAACTACGCTGTTATACAGCGTCAAAATTTCGTCAACCTTGGGTGCCTTCAAGGGACACATCATCCTATAAACGCGAAAGCCTCTGCAAGACAACCGTGAGCAATCGAGCCGCTAAAAATGTGAACGTATTTGAACAGTTCATTTCGTTATCACCTTCGCTGATAAACTTTGCTCAGTCACACAGCGTGCAGATAGATTCGCTTGATTTGCGCAAAATGCCACGGGCGTATCAAGTTCGAGATAAGAGTTTGTCACACGCTCTCCGAGAATTTAGGCGCCATCTTTATCAAACAAGTCATTTTTACTGCATCAAAAGCTATGCTGTGGCCATGTATTTTCATTCTCTGCTGTCTTTTCTAAACGACAACGTGCAAATTGTGAATATAATGGCTATATCAGCTCGCAAGGGCTGTGTCTTCATGTGGAAAAAACTGAGATTTAAATGACTTACAAAACCTAGTCTGATCTTTCATTTTCGTCATCAGATAGGAACCACAAGGTTCCAAGTTTACACATGACACCAGCTATAGTGCATCCCCCAAAATTGTTGGGTACTATAACGTGGCTGCCTTTCAATCCTTTAGCTCGTTAGCTCCAGTAAATTTGAGGCGCTTAATTAAACTTGACATGTCAAAACGATCGAAAGGCAGCCACGTTGATGATATCTATGGAACAATTGTGAGGATGCACGATATATAGCTTCCACACATCTCCACATAGGTCATGGAGCGATGCCTAAGAATATTGCATTACTCATGAAGATCGTCTCACCACTCATAGCCAGTTCGACAACAATCTCTTGATAGGTAAATAAGCTCTTCGTCCATATGAAAACTTACTAGCATATGTCGTTTTCTAAGGTCACAATTTTTTCAGTTTGATAAAAAAGATTGTTACATTTTTCCTGACTATAGCGCATAATTTTGCTGCTAGGATACACAAAAACATATTGTGATGCGAAGCAAGAAGATTGAAATGACTATCAGTATCAGAAACAGGGAAATTTACACTTCCGGTTGTTCCTATTGCTCGCGAAAATGTTAGTGGGGCAATAATGCATGAACAAACTTTTGGAGCTGTTCAGTGTCAAAAAATTTTGCACTTTAGAGCTTGCTGTGAATGTTAGCTGTAGTATCCACTATAGTTGTAACGGATGGAAATTTTCATCGAATGGATGAACATAGAGTAACTGATTTTTGAATTTTTTCGAACAAATGAATATCGAATAATTGATAAGGGAAAAATTTTCAACTGAACAAATATCACTCGATTTCCGGTCTTCAAATCAAATTCGAATATCGAATATGGACACATTCCTAAATTCGAATTTTCGAATATTCGAATATTCAAATAAGTTACTTTCCGAGTGTCGAATAAACTAGTTATTCGAATAAAGATCTTTTTCACCTATTCGACTATTCGAACAATTTAGTAATTAAACTTCCTTGAATATTCGACGAATAATTTAGTAGTTAGACTTTTTGAATATTCGACTATTCGAATATTCGAACAGTTAGTATTTCAAATTTTTCATATACAAATATCTGGTTCAACTATAGTTTTCACGTACGAATAGGTGACAAATTTAACAAAAAGAAAACCTTTCCATGGACTGATGGAACACCGTATGTTAGTTTTACTTCAATCATCGTATTTTTTTTTCTCGGTCACTCATAAAGGGAAAGTCCTAAAACGCTGTGGCGAGGTGGAACATAAAGCATATCATTAGATGCATCTTGGTGTGCTGAGTCCAGATACACCTTCCTAAAGTGCCTTTGGAGTAGAAAATGCTATTGCAGCTGATCCTTCGCTTACCAAAGGCCTCTGCTGAGACTCGGTGGGCTTAGCACCCTCTTGCTCGCTCGACTGCCTACACAACCCTGCACCATCTACATAGCTGCACACCCTAGCGCATGTTGGCCACTTTGGCACGTCCAACACAATGACCCCGCTGAGCGACAATAAATCATAACAACAAAAGTGCGACTAGATTGTAGTTTCTCTCAACTACACAAGACACAAAGGAGGTAAACTACGCTAAAAAACGCATACAAAGCGCACCTTTTTCGTTTTTTCGACTAAGCCCCTTACCGCTTTGAATTAATTCGGAAAGCGATACTTATGCCGTAAGGTTCTCTTAAGCAATATACAGCAAGGCATAGGGTCCTTTGGTTGCGAAGTTCTTTGGCGTATTTGGGCTGGTCAATTTTGGAAAAAAATCCCCCGCGCCTTGTACGCGTGAAATTAGGGTAATAAAAAACCTAAACTACAGAGAACAAACACGAGACGAATCCTCCTCGTCCCAACCCACCGATAACTGCTAACTTAATTCTAAGCGCGACATCAAAAATCCACGAGGACCGACCACTTAACTGTCTCCACCAAGGAAAGGTACGATCCCTCCTCTTCACTCCCGTACTAGACTTCACATGTAAGCTCCATACTTCCTTCCATTAGCGCGGCACAATCCAAAAGTTCTAACAGCTTTCGATCCCCGTCAAAGACAACAATTCATTACGAAAGCTTACTGGGGATCTGCCAAGCACGGCCGATAAGAATACATGAGAAATAAAAGAAATTGAAAATGAGGTCACCGAGATCAGAGGGGGCTATGTCGCTAGCCGCGTGGTTTCATATACCCCTCAACTTGGTAACGCGCCCAGCGAGGAGAGGTCCGGGCACAAAAACTATGGCGCGCCCGATTCAGCGGCATGCAGTGCTCCCGCCACTTGAATCGAGGAGAGGCTTGTATCGTGTGAGCCAAGACAGCTCCGATTTAGTCGAAATGGTAGATATAGACAAACAATATTACAATAGATTTGGTGAGCTGCGGTTCTACCTCTTTTTTCTGTTGTTCTTGATAGAAACGATCTATCAGGAACCTAGACTGGTGGATATTGCAAGAGGGCTATAAAATGCTGGCTTGTGAGACCGCGCACGCGCAGTACATGGACTCTAATACGATTCTTTCCCCAAAAAAAAGCTTATCTTATGAGAAAGGACTTGGAAAGTACAGTATACGAATTTGTTCAGTCTTTTCACCTCATTGTTGGTCCGATAATAACTAGTGTGATGAGATGGTGTTAACCCACATTTCGATTACCCTAATTTCCGGGGTATAAGGCGCACCTTGTATAAGGCGCACCCACCGTAGCGAACAATGGCGCGAAAACGCTTTCTAAATGATTGCTCTCTGAATCTAGAAAGCTGAAGACTCAGTGTGCTTTGATTATTCTTCACTTCTTATAAATCACGCCTTCAAGTCCTTGTTTTACTCTTCTTAGAACGTTTACTTTGAAATCGTTTCTAAAGGTGGGAGGAAGATGTTCTCAGTGGTGTTCATGACGTTTAGACGAGTCTTTCTTTTCAATGATGTTGCCTATGCTGCATTTTTTGCTTTCCTTCATTTCCAATAACGCTACTGGTACTGAAACGATCCTTTCTTTACAATAATGCTACTGATATCTTGAAAGTGCTGCTTTTGTTCTATTCTTGTCATTCTTGATAAAAGAAAAGGTAGAGATTTCCTGTCGGCAGCTTGTGCGGCGCCGCGCATCGCGAACGTCATCGCACATCAGTCCGCGCGCGATGAAAGCTACTGCGCCTTATACCCCGGAAATTAGGGTATACCGAATCGCTTCGTTTCTCGTATGGACAAACCTGTATAAGTAAAGCTGAATGTTGTTTCTGTGTGTGTCTGTGAGTTAGTACATATGCTCCCAATAGAACTTTTTATTTTTGACCAACCGAACCAAACGCACGCATACACTCCGGGGCGGGGCGGGTGTCGTAGACTACTTTTCGCTACCGATCGATATCAATCTGTTTGCAAAATTTGATGGGGCTGGGAACTGGCACATTGGGATAAGTGAGCATCCTGATTACGAATATATTATGGACACGGCTGGGCGGAGCCGGGTATGCCAGATAGTCTTCAGTAAACATGCCCCTTGATTCAACGAAATTGGCGGCTGGAAGGCGACCGCTCGCGTCTGCAACGCAGTCTCGTTTCTCTCGCGAGCTTGCTCTTTGGTTATTTTCTAGCCTTGATTAGGCGTAGAAGCCCCGCCTTCCAGCCGCCATTCTCGCTGAATTAAAGAGTACTATGCTTTTAACAGCATTCTTTTAGGCCTGAAGTGCACGAGATAAAAAAAAGTCGTATTCACCCAGTAAAAAATCTCTTGCTAAAGTCTTATCTCTTTACTGTTTGCCATGTAAACTGTCCCAAATGGTCAAAACAAAACGGTTCTAACGCCCATCTTTATAAATCCTAAGAAACCGCACAACAATCGGCTCACAAAATAGAGCCATCAGTAGAGCAAATGCACCACTCAATCAAAAAAAATCATAGAATCTCTATTATTAGAAGTCAGTTTCGATCCATGAAAACAAAGAATGGAGACGGTGTTGAGCTCATTTGCACCTCCTAATCGCTGTCGTCAAAAACCGGACAACTTATTCCTTCCTGAGGAACGTACAAGGAAGACAAGTAACAAAGAGGTTTGATGTCCGGCTCATATTATATTCATCTCTATCGACCAAGTATGGATCTTACAAACAAGAAGTGGAGGTACGAGAATATAACGAATATTTAACAATCAGGAAAATGAGAATATTCTCTATGCGTAATAACAACACAGCATGTCTAACAAATATTTAAATCTCTATATGAAGGCACGCTTGCTCGATGCTCGTAGAGTCATAATAAAATCGCTAGCAACATACAACACACAAACGACAAGAATAATTTGCAAATTAGCCACAAAAATCAATGAGTTAAAAAATCGCACAAGCTCGATTGCCTTCGTACCCATTACAACACGTTGATCAGCAAGATTTTTATAATCCCCCAATCAACGTATTGGGACAAATCGGAGCTAGTGCGATCGTTGAGCGTGCGATATGATCACCGCCTCCTCATCTATCACTACCGGTACGGAAGGATGAAAGACTTTGCAGACGGTGTGAAAATAACCAGCATAGACAGAAGTGGATTAATGCGGATGAACTTCGGGTGAATAGATGTGAACACACACACACACACATAGACACAGATAGATAGAGCGAAACACACACAAACGACAAACAAGGAACTGTTCATGAACCAGAACTGGAGACGAATGGCCTTGCGGAGTGGCTTGAATAGATTTGGTAGTAGCGAGGCACATGATTGCGGGGCGAGGAAGCACATGGACGACAAGTGGGAGTTACGGGACTAAATGAGTGATACGCGATTCGGATGCTCGCGGTGTAGTCGAAGTATCCATCGCGTCGTCGACTCGCATCAATGATCCACCTCCTAGTAGTTGACTTGTTCCATTGTTGCAGTGATTCCCTGCTTCTAAGCTGGAATAAGCCACATCCATGTTAATGTAGATTTAACTTCACAAAAAGCATGATCTAATTTCTATGCATATCATAGAGAATAAAGGTGTGAAGAGGTGATTAAGCACAAAAATCGAGGAGATAATTCCATGAGATATTCCAAAAACTATCTTCATCTGAGCAAACGATGGTGAGCCAACTTCCCCGGATATCACGGATACTTCCTAAACTAGATAAATCAACCGGTTTACATCTCTAGAAAAATCTATCACATTCCCCTTTCTAGGTTGAACCATTATCAATTTTATGCATGACGCCGGGTGATAACTACTCTCCCTTCTTAACTACATCCCTGATGTTAGAGAGAATGGTCACCGCCAGACAAGATCGATTACAGTAAATGACAGAGTAAGGAGAATTATTATCGCTTGATACCAGCAATCGTAACGGTGGTTCAACGGCAGAGAACCCTCTGTCTCAATGACAATGTCGCCGGTTCGTGCGGCTCGGATCCCGCGCGACCGCCTCGCCTGGACCTTGCCTGCATCTGCGAGGGTATTTTCGGGGCAATTTCGGCTTGAATGGTGGAGGAGATAGCAATGCGCCAAAATATACGTCGCAGATGCTATGCATGCTCCAAGCCACACGACGTGCGGACCTGAGCTGCATAAGCGGGCGACACTGTTGTTGAGAAAGAGGATATGGCTGATCTTACAATAAAATACGTTTATGCCTTTGATCTTAGAGAATGTCCTTATTTACTTTCCTTCCCTTTTGTAAAACAGAAAACGAAAGATACATTTTTGAATAGGGAGGTGAAAATCCAACTACCACACAACCATCTTTGCTTCTTTTCCCCTTTCCCAAATCAGAAAAGGAAGAAAATGAATATAAAAATAGGTTATAAACGACAAAATAGGCAAGAAAGAAAAAAACTCACAAATTAGGCCTGCGAGGTGAACGTGCCCGAGTAACTTGGGGAGGATCAGGTTGATTCATTGCTTCAAGAACAGATGGTGCAACGTAAGTGAAGCCAACGAATGGATTATCGCCGGTGAGGCTGGAAATACACAAATATATTAGTTGAATGAACAACTGATCTCAAGTATAACTTGCCTAAATGTTGAATCGCAGGGTGAATCGACCGGAGTCATCTTGGTGAACCGTGTATCAAACAACGACGCATCCTCCTCACTCTTCATTTCCGGCTTGAACGGGGGCTCAAGCTAAAAAATAAGATGCTTCTTTCACGATTTTATGAGAATGCAATCATGTGCGAAAAATCATTATCTGTCGCAATCATTTTGATGTAAATGACTTGAGAAGATTTTTGAAAAATCTGAAGAGCATCAAGATTTACGGACCTTTCGCTCGAAAACTAGCTGCCAATTTAGATGGCGGAAAAACGGATGTTGTTTGATCTCTTCAGCATCTTCCGGTCCTAAAACAAAGTTAATAAACAATGTGTAGATGGCTCAGGGGATGAAAAAACAACAGCTGCTGTTGACATCAGTCTAAAAAAGAGGAAGAACGCTAAGAAAACAACCAGAAACATTCTCGCGAAACATCAGCTTCAAAGTGATCGCTCAGAAATGAGTATACGGTAAACACACTAACGATGAAGTCTACACGAAGATTTTCAGTTCTTTTGGCAGAAAATGCAAAAACACCCACATTTAAGTTGAAACTGGTTCTGAAGCGAAATTGCGCTCAGTGAAGAGTTTAACAAAGGATGTTTAAAGTAATCATGGAAGTGAGTAACTTGAACAGAACATGTAGAAAGCATAAACAAGTTTTGAGCGACCTACTTTTGAATTTTCTTCGTGCTCTTCTAGATTGCGCAGAACGTGGCAAAAGCTAGACATGTAATCTAAGTTGTCACATTGAGACGAGATCAAAAATGTTGAATGCAACAAATTCTAAGAAGTACTATCATTCAAAAAAAAATCATACTGCACACATAGAACTAAATGCTGGTTTGCATTTTTTGCCATTAACAGTGTAACACCCTACATCTTCCAATTAGCTAATCTTTTTCGTGATTTTTACACCTCTCTTCCACAAACTCAGAACACATCAACTTCTTGCATGCATTCTCTTGTTCTTTGCAGAATACTGATGCTCGATGCGATAAGAATGCTTTGGGAAGAAAAATAACACTTTGCATTATCCGTTCATAGAAATTTGGCCTCAAACTAGTTGCAGTGAGATGAAACGCTAATGACGCCATCTTTTCACAAGTCAAACCAAAAATTAGGAAAACAAAAATGGTGCCGCATATGTAGGTAAAAGCAAGCAACAGTAACAAACCAATCATAGCCGAAACGAAAAAGCAAGGAACAAATGTTGAGCCACGCTCACCTGCACCAAGCCTTGTTTCAACATGCCTCTTCAACAATCTCTTGATTAAGTCACGAGCTTCAACAGATAAGTAAGCTGGCAGAGTTAGGCGACCCTGCAAAACCAACTCAACAATTGCCAGCAAAAACCTACTTAGCGACCTCAGTAACCTACTTTTAGGATCTTGTCAATAGTTTTCTTCCTATTTTCAGCAGTAAATGGTGGTCCTCCAGTCAACATATCGAACATCAACGCTCCCAAGCTCCACCAGTCTACAGCTTTACCATGGCCGCATCGCATAAGGATCTCCGGCGCCATGTATTCTGTTAACAAAATGATTTCTACACTTGGATTTCACTACTTTTGAACGATTGAACTCTAAGCAAAAGCAAAAGGCTAACTGAAAAGGAATCAAACCTATCGTCCCGCAGAAGGTGTGCGTCTTTTGATCGCCTTCTATAGCTTCTTTACATAATCCAAAATCAGTAAGTTTAACATGGCCACGTGAGTCGAGAAGTATATTTTCTGGTTTGAGATCACGATAGATGATACCTGAAACACTGCTAATTTCGAAAGGGAACAAGCCTCATGGATGTAAAGAGCTCACCCTGCCGATGCAGATGCTCCAGGCTCACAACAATTTCAGAAAGATAAAACGCAGCCGTATCTTCGAGAAACATGCCTGGCAATAAACCATAATTATTACAACTGGATATACATAAAGCAGATTCCAACCAATTCAAGGCAATCTCGCTATATCATGCAAATCAATGGAAAAAGTGAGCAACGATGAAAACTCTACCTTCTCTTTCGAGATGCATGAACAGTTCTCCACCGCTAAGATATTCCAGTATTAGGTATAATTTCCCGCCAGTTTGGAACGCATAGAGTAGATCACAGATAAATGGACTTTTCACGGCTTCTAATATGTTCCTTTCAGCCTGGAAGAAGCTATATAAAGAGGAAGCGCCCAAAAAGAATAGTCACATTATTTTTCGTCCTGGTTATACCTCCAAAATCTATCAATATGAGCTTTATTCCGCATATTTGGACGATTTTGTCAAAGGACTTTTTCGGTAACGTACCAGCAGATAATCCCAAAATGTTTGCCAATTCCGAAGGGAAAAAATGAGAAGAAAAAGGACGTTCAACGCTTCAAACCAGGCAAGGTAATGGTGATAACTCTAAGAGTTATCAAAAATTCCCTGCTGCATATTTCAAAGCTTTTGCCACATAAATTCTGCTAAGAGAAAGTACAGATCAATACAACTGTGTCTATAAAACAAGTGTATAGCTTATTTTGCCACAAACGCTTCCGTGCGTTGAGTCAGGGATTGTGAACTACTGCTCGAACGACTTTGTAACAAAAACTGAGAACTAAGGCTTCACAAATGCCTCAAAAGAAGTGACAATGGTTGGCGTTTCCATACGAGATATAATAGTGTCTAGTCTTATAGTGCATGAAACGCTGATTCCAGATCTCCTTTAGATATCTGCAAAGGGAGTTTCTAGCAGGGGAGTTCTGGAAATTTTTTGAAGTAAAAACTTAGACGCGCGGCTACTTGAAATTATTGTAGTCCATGCGCTTTATGCAACTTATACCTTTATTCTATTAAACTTATGCTAGTCATTACCATTGTAAGCGCCTGAGACCTCAACGCCTGTTTTTACCTCAGCCAAACCCTCGAAGTTTTGCTCGAAAAATTCCCAAAACTCCGTTCACAGAAGCGCTTTGCGGATATCGAAAGCAGACTTGGAATGGTATACATTTCATATGGAAATACCAACTCCACTTATATCCTTCCTTGTCAGATTGAACATGAAAGTTTCATAAACTTTGCAAGAGATTGCAATTACAAAATGATTGCAGAAACTTTGATGAAACATGCCAGATAAGCAGAAATTAGTCTTTCTGACATATAATGGTTGCCATTTCCGTTACTTATAACCACATAAGACATGACAAAAAAAGAAGTCCTCGGTTGAGAAGCTGGATCGAGATGATGGAAAAGTATAGAAAACACTTGCCTTTGTGTGCGCTGTATCCTTTTGATTCCTGACTATAGTAGCTTTTTGTAGAACTTTCATAGCAAATATTTTTCCTTTATCAGAACCCGTCGTTTTCTTCACTTGAAATACCTGCAAGATATTCATGATAGGAAGTCATTTCAACGCAACAATATGACTCTATCTACTAATTGTCGAAAGAATTAACCCCCTCAGTATTACAAGACCAATAAGATAGTATGATAAGGTAATGTAAAAACCTGGAAAAATATTCTCACCTTTCCATAACCGCCTTTGCCTAATACTTTGAGCAGTTCAAAATCTTTCGGTCCAACTTTTACTCCTTGATTGACTGCGATACATGATAAATCAATTGCCTCAACCATAGGATCTTGACTAAAAAGTTCAATACATCAACTGCGAGCATTTGTGGTGGGTAAAAGCTCTAGACAACTCATAATCGATAATTAAAGGATGTTGATTCAGTAACATTGTTTCAAACTAGAAAAGAAAGGTGGGAAATGCAGGCGGATATATGAAAAAATTGTTGTTGAAATGACAGAAAATATTGATCTGTCTCTGGGTTCCATACAGAGAGATGCATAAAAAAAGAGATCATACGTGTAAGCGTAATGTGGCTTAACATTGAAATGAATTTGAAAAAAACCTGGAAAAATTAGACATGGAAATTCAATTGCCGTATTTCCAGCACAGATAAGAAAAACGCCCTTTGGGTACTTAATGGATTCTATTCATTCGATGAGCATGACAAGTGGAGAAGACAAAAATAACCCTACCAGACGCTCAAAAAGCGCATCAGCACATAAGGTAGGGCAAGGTGATTGAAATCGTGAACTATATTGGACATAACGGCATAAAAACGATACATACTTCTTCATCATGAAGCAACCTTAGTCTATTTCGAGTGAAGGTAAAGGAAGCAAGAAAAAAGGAATAAGCATGAATACCAAAAATAACACATGAACATACTCTATCAAGCAATTGTAAACTCACATGTAAGATGAGCTCGGTGGTGGAGCGGTTATGACACCCTGAAAAATAACGCCAATTAATGGTACAGTTCTGTTAATGTAGATCTTTAAGTACAAATTATGTCTGAAACTATTTTGAGAAGAGTTCAGATGAGTTCGAGGAAGTTATCTAATGAGCGATTGTAGAAACACTGCTAATACCAAGTTACCTCAAACGCGCAAAAAAGGATTCATTGTTGACTTTCAGCAGCAGTAAACTATCAGGCGCATCTAACAATTGATATCACGAGAACCAAGCTGATTATGATTGAGCGTAGGGAACTGCTGAGCATATGGATAGGATAATATCACCTTCCATTCATGCCTACGTTCTTAGTAGACTTTATATACAGGTTTTGAATTATTATTCAAACCTGATAGAAATGTTCCGCATACACTACATACACCACGTACATAAATTTAAATCAAGCGCATGAAAAAACAACAGCACGCGTATGCGTTGAATTTGAGTCTACATGCAATCAACTGATTCTGGTTATTTCCGAAAAGCGAAAATCTAACAACTCACATCAGCCACGTTGCTATACATTTGATCATCTTCCATTTCTTCTTGAAGTGCACCACCATCATACCGATTTGGTTCACTTCCATCTAACTCGATATCAAAAACACCCGCCATGTCTGAAATTTGATCCTATAGACGTCATTTACTGACGAATGATGACGCAAAGCTGGTTTTGAAAGTGAATAAACATAGCGAAAACTGCTGAAATAATTTAGCTACACAAACCACGCTATTTGCGAATGTTTGCATAGACCTTGATAGTTTTTCCTTCATTCTGTGCTGCACAGCTAATTGTTTTGCGAATTGATGTCTCTATGCCATCAACCAAGGTTAAGGTGTCACAGAAGAAAACATGATGATATGATGTCATTGGATGTCAACCTATTCCGAAGAAACACACAATAAATTGTATGCGACTGAGATATTACATTTTCTGCAAAATAAATGGCAGCAGCACGATGATTAAGTGAAGAATATTAATGGTGAAGGCAAGGTTTAGAGCAACTAAGCAGACCCGGATCTTTCGAGAAGAGCAATGAATCACAGTTCGCCCACACCGTCTACGAAAAACTTATGAAATTACACCACCACGAACAAATATAGGTACAATAAATTCCTCACGATGACGCATCAAAAAGTAACTGTCCTCTTCAGAGTAACTGTAAATAGAGCTGCCTATTAACAGACATCAATGAAGCAAAAGTATAAACTTGAAGTGGAACTTGGGGCTGGTTGAGAATTTTGAGTCTGCTTAAACTGGTACATGAAGATCTATTTGCTAACAAAATTTCTTACCCAGCAATCGCTGAAACCTTACAATTTTCAATCAAATGTTCAGAGTCAGATAAGGCTGGGTTCATATCTATCCGTAAGTTCCGGAACAGTTCCAGTACAGCGCACAATTTGAGCGCTGTGCTGGAACTGTTCCGGAACTTACGGATAGATATGAACCCAGTCTAAAGAACATATATCAAGTATCCCCCAAGTGCAACTCAATCGATCAGAAAACAGCTGAAGACACAATATTGTCAATCCAAATGGAGGAAATATAGTGCAAGTGCACAACCTTACCGGAGACTGACCGGCAATAAAGGACTTCGGACTTTTAGGACTGAAATTCGAGAACGCCGCACGCAGACATTTAACGAATTAAATGGTGCTTCAGCTTATTTGTGGTGTTTTATAAACGGAAATTAACAAAAAGCAATATAAAACTTGTTGGGCGTGTGCGCTTCTTGCGTCTCCTATTCTACAAAGGTACTATAAACAGTAAGTGACCAAAAATTAGCAGAAAGTTCCAAAATTTTGAGAAAATAAAGATTAATGAACTGTCGAATCATTTACAAATACGACCCTATGAAACAATTATGAGAGAAAAAAAATGAATATAAGTTTCATTTGTTGTAAGATGCCCGCGAGCTTCGACATTCGCGTATATCTTTGAAGACCAGCGAAAACGCAATAAGAAGGATTGCCAACAGAAATTACGCAATCATTTGCAAAAAATAACTGAGGATTACGATTTATTGCGCAATATCTAGCTGTAGAAAACATGGAGGCACCGTAATCACGTCATACTGCAGCATCAGAAGAAGCTAAAGAGTTGATAACAAACATAAGTATAACTTACCAGTACACTGTGAGTACTACTTGTCCATCAACGTGCTCTGGTAGGCACTCTTTTTTGGCTTAAGAACCTAAAAATGCAATCAAATGATGTGGAAAAGCTGGAAAGAATGACGTGACGTGGCTATTACTCAACAAAATTGAATGCTTACGCTACTTTAAGCATATCGATCCGGAGAAGAAATGGGTAATGAAGACAAGGAAAAAACTTGCGACAGAATAAAAGCTGAGAATTCCAAAGCCAAAAAAGTTTATTTAAGAGTGTAAGTAGCACAATATTCTCCGAATGTGGCAGACATGAAAACCAACGTCATTTTTTTGAACACAATATGAGAATGTCAACTGAATATATTATACGGTGATTTGAATCATATCTACATACTGTGATGTGATGCGATAAACCGCAATTTACAGAGCCTGACTCAAAGCTTAAGAAAACGATAGAAAGATTTTGCGATAGTGTGTAGCAACCAGAAAATCTTGCCGGAGTGTCTTGTCAAGTTTCTCAGCTATTGGAACTATGCAAAGAATCTCTTATGTTTTCGCAGAGAACAATCAAGCCAGCGGGAAATTGATGACAATAGATGATTTTACACTAAACAAATACCAGTTTCGCAATCTTACTAAACTATAAGTCATCGCAATAGTTTTGCGAAAGTTTGATGGAACAAAATTTTCAAGTATGAGTGGTAGAGAGAGCAGTGTTGATGGCAAAGCTGAGAAAATGATACAAACAAGCGGAATCGATAAAACGCGAAACAGGAGCGATTAGATAAGGCACACACACACAGACAGAGACATGATATACACACAACACAGACTAGCACAGAAAGAAACGAGTCGAACAACGAGAAAAATTTGCGCCCGATGAGGGCTTCGCTTCAAAAGCAGCAGTACATTACGAGAACCACATGAAAGTAAAAATGACTAAAGAGTACGGAGAAATATCACTGTGCACTTAGTTCAATGCGAACAAAAGTGCATGATCAATCAGCCGGTCCAGGCGCCTCGATCGCCACACCGCTGTATACACACATACACATACACATACACAAGCAAAGAGGGCGCACATCGATCCACCACCCCACCACTCCCACACACACAAAAGCGAGGTGAGGATGTGTGGGCGATGTGAAGGATTCCCAATTCAGAAGCGCATTCCAGCATGGTCGCTTCCGCTGCTGCTTCACAGCCAAACGCGAAGTTCATGTATCGATCGATCGAGGCGGAGAGAACGTGCGCTCGTTCGTCTACGCCGACGATCGTGTCCGTCTATCGAGATCACACCGATGACGCCCGCGGCGACCGCTACGCGTTAAGGATCGTTGATGATTGTAGTGTGATGTCTTGTGGTAATGCATGACACCTTCGTCGTCAGCGGGAATAACCATCTAAGGTGATAAATAGACGTTGACTTGTTGATTGTGCAGATACACATTACTAACGTTGGTCTTTTGTAACTTGAAAGCATGTCAGCAAATCCTTAACTTGAAATTTTCTTACTGACGTCATCCGATGCGCTTATACAATCAAACCACCATAAACAGAATGGTGACCATTCTGAATCTGGACGAGTGGAGCAGTTACCGCCAAGATGGAGACACAGAGTCGTTGCGGGACCCTCACATTTATAACATCTCGGGTATTTCAGTCTAAAGGTAGGTGCCAAAGCATAGGTGCGATAGGGAGAGCCGGGCTCTCCCCAGGTGAAGGGGGTCTCGGCTGTTCCCGACCTTCCAGGGTGAAGGGGGTATGTGAGTCTAGGGGGGGAGGAAGAGAGAAAAGGTAAAAAAGCGTGTTATGAAGAGCTCTAATTTGTACCTTATTTAGGCACAAATTAAAAAAAATTTAAAAATTTTCAAAAGAAATTAAAAAATTAAAAAAAAATTGATTATGAAGATCTGTGCTCCTGTTTCACTGCATCAACAAAAAACGAAAGCAATAATGTTTATCCCAAAAGATGTATAAGTCAGGAACGACTTCATTTCCTGCACATCATCATCAACAATATCACTATCGTTAACGTCAGAGACAACAAGTTCGCTGCCTGAAAAATCTTCTTCTTCCTCCGAAAGGTCATCGGAGTAGAAGTAGAATTGCGTGCAAAAGCGTTCTGAGTTGAAAATGGATTTGAAACTTTCTTCTTCTTTTAAGCGCTTTTGTCATTTTCTTCCTGGCCCTCTGGTAGCACCAGGAAGTCAGCAGGTAGGTGACCAGTTTCTTCATACCTTCTTTTAGGATATCTCAAAAAGTCATACGGTAACAGCCTGTCTGGACCACTTATACCAATCCTTTGAATGAAGTTTTTAGATAACAATGTGTTTAGTAGAAGGTTGACAAATCTTAAGTATTTGCTTAGATGCTCTATCGTCGTACGACTTCTGCGTTGTGTTCTGATAACAGTGGAAAGAAAATTTCTTTCTCCACCTCTGCCGTGCTAGTCGGAATGGAAACTAGCTTTACTAGTAGGTCCATCAGATTTTTGCGGTAAGTAATGGGAAAAGAGCCAGATCTCATATGCTTTCGCAACACGGGAAGGAAATAGTGCATACTTTTTGGGCCTTGTCGAACTCTGGCTTCACCTCCTTTGGCATACGTGCTGTTAGCTGATTAGAAAGCTGCTCAACTTCTTCTTCAACAGCATCTGCGGAATAGCCGAAAAAAGGAAGTACTATGCTGCGCGTTGGTTTTTTTTTTCAATATCAAAGGACAAGGCGAATAACTTTCAAAAGCATAAAGCACAGAGTTGGGTTCGCACTCCAGCCGGGATCTAAGCGCAGTAACTATGCTTTGTACTAACACCTTCCTTTTGTTCATATCCATGTTTGTGAATTTAGCAGCCTTGAATTCTTCAGCAACATGAAAATCAGTAATGGACTTCCTGGACATTTCCTCATTGAAACTAGACAATCTGCTTGGATTCCTTATGCGGGAAATTAGAGAGTTTCGCTCAATTGCCAACTCTGTATCAATGTCGACAACTTCGTCGGCGTAAGATTCTCCTTCTGCCTCGCTGTTGAACTGGAACACATGCGAGTCATCTGCGATTTTGTAAAGTATTCTGCCTGCCGCTTCCTCTTCAAGCTGTCAACCTTTCCAAAACATTGAGGGATATTTTAATAACATGTTAATCTTCTGAATGTCTTAGAGTTTTTAATTCATTGAAACCAACCATTCTCTACAAATTAGATAAGGTGAGTCTAGAGCGTTTTCACGAAAGTGACCTTCTTCAGCACTAGGTTTACAGAGTATAGATTCCAGAAATGGGCGGGTTTTTGTGTGAAGGTGTGGAAATTCACCAATCTCCCACAGTTTTTTGAGTGTGTGCTAACAATGATGGCATAACTGTCAATCAAAAGCGCATTTTTTACCAAAAAAAAAACATAAACATATAACAACGATAAACACGCTCAAATAGACGCGTTCGCTCACGTTCCCGTTAGTGCTGATAACGATGTCAATCCACAGCACATTTTTTACTATTAACTTGCTCCACCTCGCTCTTATTAGGTCGTCCAGAAAGTTTTTGCACACGAATTTCAAAATTCATAACTTCTGATTTTTCCAACCGATTAGACTGCTTTTTTTTGTATGAAAGGGTAAGTCATGCTCTTTATAATGACATCTCAGCTGCTTAGTAATGGCCATCTGTTGCATAGATAGGAGCGATAGAAGAAAATGGTAAAAATCTTGATTTTCTGTGTAAGGTCATAAAAAATCGGAGACTTGCAACAAAAATCGGAGCAGTCAGTACTGCAGGTTTTTTCACCAGCTCTTTATAACAGTGCAAAGTTGGCGCCGATTGAGCGTCTCCATGAAAAGTTATGATTTCCCTGAAAAATGCCAAAATAAATCAAATTCGCCTTTTTGTACTGCTTGCTCGGAAATTATAACTTTTCATGGAGACGCTCAATCGTAGCAAACTTTACACTGTTAGAAAGAGCTGGTGAAAGAACCTAGAATACCGACTGCTCCGATTTTGTTGCAAATTTCTGATTTTTTATGACCCTACACAAAAATTTAAATTTTGAGTGATTTTGTTTTGAGCTTCTATCTATGCAACAGATGACCATTACTAAGCAGCTGGGATGTCATTATAAAGAGCATGAATTACCCTTTCACATAAAAGTGAAAGCAGTCAAATCGGTTGGAGAAATCAGAAGTTATGAATTTTTGAAACATGTGCGCAAAAACTTTCGGGACGACTTATACAATGTGTTGGCTTTTATGGGTCACCGAAGCAAATGATTTTTAGAGCCGGGAAGCAAAGAAGCCCTAACATGCTGTATAACATTCGAAAGCTGAGATCATGGAGAATCGACGTAGACCGTCGACTTTTTTCTAGGTTTTCTGTGCCGCGAGATATGAGGGATTTCATGTGCTTCAAAAACTAACTGATTTTGTGTCCTCACTTTCTGCTCTCCAAATGAATGCTACGAGAAAATCGACGGTCTACGTTTGTTAATGAAGACTTGCTCTTTGACAAAGATAGATAATCAGCAGTGATTAGGTCTTCATTTGGCAGAAATCTGCTGTTGAAAATGACCATGTTTTCAGATAAAATGCGGTGTATCTCTCGGTAGAGGGGGGCTAGAAAGAAGTCGATGGTCTAGGTCGAATCCCCTTTTCCTGAGCTTTCGAATGGTATATAGGTCGCTGGACGAAAAAACTAACCAGTTTTCAAAAATGGAGTGGAGATATTTACTATTAGCTTGCTCCAACCCAGCTCCACCAATGTATTGGCTTTTATCGGTTACCGGAGCAAATGATTTTTAGAGCCGGGAAGCAAAGAAGCCCTAACATGCTGTATACCATTCGAAAGCTGAGATCATGGAGAATCGACCTAGGCCGTCGACTTTTTTCTAGGTCTTCTGTGCCGCGAGATATGAGGGATTTCATGTGCTTCAAAAATTAACTGATTTTGTGTACTTACTTTCTTCTCCCCAAAATGCTACGAGGATAAATAAATAATATAAATAAACATAAATACCATTTCTTTAGTAAATTTATGAGTGTACTTCTTGTTTGAGGTACTTAGCCTGCTTTTCATAACGATTTTTATCATATTCTCAGAGTACAATACCAATCTCAGCCCAGGTGAAGGGGGTCATCGGGAGTTTGGCCTCAAAGTGAAGTGGGTAAGATCCATCACTCCCCCTATCGCAACTATGTGCCAGAGTAAGCGAATATTTTGTTCAGGTTTGGGTCCCGCAGAATGGACGTCACTTGGATTGACGCCAGCATGGTGAGTGACGTCCATTCTGCGCGGGACGCCAACCTGAACAAAATATGTATTCTCGACGCCATCTATTCCTACCGGGCTGGCTGCGCGAGCGATTCGCATGCGGCAGCCGTAATTGGCGTAGGGGCGCGCATTCTTGCATGTGCGCGACAGCATCTGCGATCGCTGTTGATCGTCAGGTGTGCGAATGAAAAGTTACTGGAAAACAAGTAAAAGTTGAGAACTCACTGCGGAGTGCAGTGCGCCTGTAGGTAAATAGGTAAATATGTATCGTTCATTCGTTGACCGTACGGACTGCCGACCGCGTGGCGACTGCGACGCGTGCCTTCTAAACTTGCGAAAAAGTGACAAGTTGGACCGTGGCTTAAAATGAGAATTCTTTGTTTCTTTTCTACATTATAAAGATGAGAAGAATCCTCTGTTTTCTTTCTATTCATCTTTCTACGAAAACATCATGCACGCGCAGCGGTCGCCGCGCGGTCAGCAGTCGTTACGGTCAACGAATAAACGATAAGCTATCTGTTTGCCATGGGGTGCATGACTAATTGTTCGCAGAACTTCTATGTTAGCGAAGTATATCGTTTCTTTTCTTTCTTTACGGTTGTTGTTGTGGAAACTCCTTTCTCCCTAAGCTTTTCAAGTCTAGTACAACTCGATCAATCCCTTCTAATGGAGAACTCGCATCCTCGATGTTTCCCCTTCAGAAAACTAAGTTTGATCTCATTGGTCCCTGACTTACTTAGATACATGTGTACAACTCGTTGTAAATGTTATGCAGTGAGTTTTTCTAATCTATGTCGCTGATATTCAAAGCTCAAACTGCTTGGAAAGTACTGAAAATTGACGATTTTTGTCAGTTGCAATAGATGCAGAACTTTGTTACTACTGGCCGCTTTTCTGATAAACAAGGGAAAAGATTTGGGATTCTTGAAGATGGGAAGTCGTACTACTCGAGTTGTAATGCGATGTATGCAAACACTTCAATAAGTGAGTGGACTGTAAAATTCTGGGCAGGAACGTGGTATCTTTGGAATGAAGGGACGTGCAAAGAACCATTGGATGACCATGGTTGTTTGATGCTGGTAGGTTTTGCAGCAATGCCGATACACCTAGATTACTTC